GCTGGGACCTCATCAATGATTGCATCCACGATGGCCAACCTTCCCTTTCCCTTTCCCATATAGTCCCTTTGTCCGAGCAACCACTATCTTTTAGATCACTCATAATTTTATTATTATAAAAATAATAAAAAAAGAAGTATTCAATGTATATAAATCCCACTAAAGTAAAGCATTACTTCGATAATATATATATATATATATATACTTACATATATATTGTATGATCAAAAAGTGCTAACACAAATTTAAAAGAGATCTGATGGTAGCAAAGACCGGCTGACCCCATTTGTCAGTCGAGTGAACACTTTGGTTCGTCCAGTGATCACCTGAGTTTGTTGAGCAACCACTGTAGAGCAATTTTGTTCGTCGAGAGAACACAAAATGACAAAATTTATTCAATGAATGTCTTGTTGGATAGGCCCAAATATATGAATGCGTCACCTATATACGATAGGATGCTAGAGACTTGAAGAGTAGGCAAAGAAATTAATTCTTATGAGCAATTTTGAACTTTTACATTTGACCTCCTATAGCCTATAATTAGGGACCTTTTATGTAAAAGGGGGAACCATATAATTTTTTGCTCTCCACTTCTTCTGTAAACAATATTTTGAATTGTTGAATCTTGAGTCATCCTTTGTGAACACGTCTTGAGAGTTAAAGCTGAGAGAAAGAGAAACTGTAGAACAGAGTCTCTTTTTATTCGTTTTTATGTCTCATATTTATAGAAGCATGTTTGTACAATTACATAAAGAAGTAAAAAAATAATGAAAACTGCTCTTAATGTGATTTAACTTACTGATTATATATCAAATATGTATTACAACTTCAATTTGAATATGACAGTAACTACTTGGCTGACACACTTAAGTTCGGTTGACCAAGATGATCGGTCAAGTCGCGATTGTGCCCGCCGAATTAAAATTCAATCGTTCATTTAGTTGTGTTCAAACCCCCTTGTGGGGCATTTAAGCAATTCAGGATCATAGGTGTGGTCTGCCAATTGAAACCCTCGTCAGGATATATCATTTGACTTCGACTAAACAGTCGGTCGTCAAAGGCTTGACTCGGATTGTGCCATTTTGGTTTGATGCCTCAATTGTTTGACTATAACCCTATGCCGCTCGATTGCTTTGAAATTTATGTCGATGGCTTTAGTGCATACATTAATATATAAAATGAGTTTGAGAGGCATGAAAGATCCCCTATTTCACTTCACCAGGCAATTGTTGAGTCACTCTTCCTTCTTCTCTCTTTCACACACACACACACTCTCCTGTTTTCCTACAATTATATGCCCAGGGCATGTACCATAGGACAACTCCTACATACATACATACATACATATATATATATACATACATATA